CGCGCCGCCCTCGCCGGGGCTCTGTGGCCATCCAGGGGAGCTCTCTTTGTGGCGTGGCTGGGAACAGGCTGTGTCCCCCGCAGAGGTGAAGATGCAGTCCACGCTGACGCGGGAGTCCAGCGGGCTGTACACGGTGACCAGCGCTCTGCTGTCACACGTCACGCGGGAGGATCGCGACTCGCTCTACCACTGCACCGTGCACTACTGGCTAAGGGGGCAGAGACGCTCCGTGGAGTCCAGGAAGGTCAACGTCACCGTCTTCTGTGAGTCAAGGGCTGTGCCACTCGCTGCCTGGTGCCACACAGCCAGGCTGGGCACCAACTCTGCTTCTTTTCTCCCTGCCAGACCCCACGCAGCACCTGAAGCTGCAGGTCATGCCGTCCTCAGAGCTGGTGAAGGAAGGGGACAGTGTGAAGCTGGTCTGCGAGGCAGATGGGAACCCAGCTCCTTACTTCACCTTCTATAAGAAAGAGGTGAGGGGAGGGCACCTCTCCCTGGGCAAACATCTCACGTCCCGGCCGCTCCTTGTCCTCATCCCTGGAGGGATGCAGTAGCAGGGGTGGAAGGTACCGTGCTAAAGGCTCTGCTTTCTCCCCACCACCCACAGAAGGATGACTGGCAGGACCTGTCGCCGCTGTCAGAGGCAGAGGGTGGGGTTCTGAACCTGCACGATGTCAACAAGAGCAGCAGCGGCATGTACAAGTGCCAGAGCCTGGACCTGGACGACATGGGGCAGCTAGAGGAGGTCGTGGAGCTTGTTGTGAACTGTAAGATGGGGGGACGGGACCCTGAGGACCCCGCGGTCGGGTTCCTCGTCTCTCCCGCTCACCCCGCCCCGGCGTGTCCATCCCTCTCCTAGACATCGAAGGGGTCCAGGTGAAGATGGAGCCACCCACACCCGTCAAGGAAGGGGACGACGTGAAGCTGAGCTGTAATGCCCACAGCCCCGTGGCACTGGAGTACCAGTGGAGGGACGAGATGGTGAGAGATGTTTAGGTCCTGTCACACCTGGTCTTTGCAGCACGTTGGGCAGAGTCGGGAGCTTGTTCCACCTCTTCTGAGAGAGGCCAGGGGAAGGATTCCCACTTCCATGGACATGCATTGTCCACCTCATCACCTCCCGGCCAGGACGGTCCTGTGCTCGCAGAGTCCTTTCCCGCGCGTGAGAGGGAGGCCCGAGCGGCTTTGGGAGGTCTCGGCGCTCTTTGCCACTGCTGTCCCTTCCCAACAGGGCAAGAAGGTGGCTCAGGGGAACCAGCTGTGGCTGAACAATGTCACCTTTGAAAACTCCAAGAACTTCAGCTGTAAGGTGATGGCTCGCAGCGTGCCGGGGCTGGAGCAGAGCAAGCAGGTGGCCGTGGACGTTCAGGGTAAGGACGAACCGGCGTGAGCGTTACCGGAGCGAACATTTTCCCGCCTAGCCTCGGTGCTGACGTGTCCTCCCGCAGGGAAGCCGCGGATCGTGTCCATCAGCTCCCCCCTGTACGTGCGGCAGGACGAGGTGGTGAACCTCACCTGCAGAGCCATCGCCTTCCCGCGACCCTCCGTGCGCTGGAACGTCAACGGCACGGTGAGAGCGGGGGATCCCCCAGCCTGGCATCGCTCCCGGGAGCTTGGCATCCCCTCGGGCACTCACTCCTCCTCATCTTCCTCCTCCTCTCAGGCTCACGAGTCCGTGGACAATCGGCACGTCACCAGCAACCTGACGGTGCGCGTGAGCCACGACCTGCTGCGGGCCGGAGCCACGTGCCGCGTCTCCAACACGCTGGGGGTCAGCGAGAAGCACATCCAGCTGCTGGGTGAGTCTCGGGCAGTGCCCTCTGCCCCTGGAACCCCCCAAGGCGTTCTCCCCCTCGCCCTGGCGCCGGCCGTGCCGTGCCACGGGGCTCAGCTCCGTCTCTTTCTCCCCCTCTCCCGCTGTCCCAGTGGAGTCCATCAGGAAAGGTCAGTGTGTCGGGGAGGGAGCTTGGCTGCCTGCTCTGCACTGCATTTCTCGCTGCTCCTCTCCTTGCCGAGCCGGGAGGGAAGTGGAGGTTCTGTCCCAGGGGTGGCACAGCCGCCTGTGCCCACCAAGTGCAGCTGGGCAAGGAAGCAAAGGCACGAGCTGGTGCCTTGCAGGAGTCCCTGTTCTCCATCCTCCTGTGAGCAGATTGCAAAGTGTGTTCATACGCTGCTCCAGCAGAGCGTTTTTGTACTGAGATCTGCATCCTGCAGGGAGGAGCTCCGGGAACCGGAGTCCCCGTGGTGCTTTCCTGGGAGAAAATGCTCCTTTCTTTGCTCTCAGGGGAAGCCGGAGAGGATCGGGGTGGGACAGGCATTAATTTCTTCTTCTCCTGTCGCGTTTAGATCAGAAGTCCACGGCAGAGAGCAAAGGGGTGATCATCGTGGCCATCATCGTGGCCATCCTCGTGGTGGCCGTGCTGGGCTCGGTCATCTACTTCCTGCACAAGAAAGGCAAAATCCCCTGCGGCCGCGCCGGGAAACAGGACATGTAAGCACCGTTACCTCTCCCCGGGGAGCCCCGGGGGCACTCGGCATCACTCACGCTTCCCATCTCATTGCTCCAGCTTCTCCCTGCCCAGCGCGGGCTCGGGGGGCTCGGCGGCGCTTCCAGCTTCCCGCCGGGCACCGTCAGTGCAGGGCGGGCACGAGGAGGACAGCAGAGTGGTAGAACGGCCGAGGGTCCCTTCCTCAGGGAGGGATTGGGCAGCCCAAAACTTTCTGTGCGAGCCTCTTTCACCCCTAGGTCTTCTCTACCCCAGCCCCACTCCAGAGCATCCCCCGAGTCGGAGCCGCAGGGCTCGACCTCTCTCTCCACCGGCCACGTGTCCTCTCTGGTTTCACAACAGTGTCTCAAAATTGTCACCTCCCTCCCCTAGCACAAAGCCAGAGGCACGTAAAGACAAGATTGTAGTTGAAGTTAAGTCAGATAAAGTGTCCGAAGAGGCCGGGCTCCTGCAGGGTGCCGACAAGAGAGCCGCCGCCGACCAGGTAGGTGCGGGCACTGCCCTCGCCAGGGCCAGGGACGGGAGCAGAGGTGAGAGGAGGGATGGGGCTCTATCTTCAGGTAACGCTTTGCTCCTCTCCCAGCACTCCCCACCCTGCACAGGCCTCCATCACATCCATCCTCAGCGCTCGGAGGGGCCGTGGGAGGGAGGGAAGGAGGGGGCCGAGGTGGG